AAATGTTGGAGCGAGGCGAACTCTCAAGACCAAACAGCTTCTAATTCATTGCGCGTTACAACATAGCAATATGGCGGGCAGTTCGTGTAATAAATGCAGTTCTTTTCAGAAAATTCGTCTCAAATGTAAATAAAAGTAATAAACAACAATGTTAAAAAGTTCACTGGGAAATGAACTTCGGGCTTCACAGGATTTTATCACGTGACCAACAAAGTTCATTTCTCAGAGAACTTTTTAACATTGTTGTTTATTTCTTAAATGAAAAACACTTGGAACACAAATAAATCACCATAAAGAACACCTAAAACAAAGATTAATAACCATAAAGAAAACTTAAACACAGATAAATTACCATGAAGAACACCTAAACACAGATAAATCACTATGAAGAACACCTAAAACAAAATAAAATCAGAATAAATAAGAATCTATCTTATAATTACATCTTTCGTGGGATATCATTAGTTATCCAGGTCCAATAAAGGGTGTATGAGGATTTACCCCGGGTTTTATTCCATAAACACGGAGGACAAAGACCAATGGGTGTATGGAATACAGTCCAGGTAAATCCCCTTGATTGGACCTGGATAACGAATTTATGTACCCAAATAAATTCTTTGTAAACAAGTCCAATCAACTGTTTTTCAAGCAATCAATAAGATTTACTACGTCCTACAATACATCGTGACGTCATGTTATTTGCTTTTTATCATACAGAAACTATGCATTGTAACGTCACGTTTTTTACCCACGGCTCAAGTCGGGTGTACGGAAATTTACACATTCTTTGTAACCAATCAAAGCTCGTGTTACAAGCTACATAGGAAATAAGTGAGAATATTCCATACTTTGAAATTTCAGTGAATAATTAAAAAAAAAAGAAGAATTTTACCAGTAACTATATTCGTAGAAACAAAAATCGATAAAACACAAGATATAGGTTGACAGTCATTATTTGTACAGATTATAAAAGAAGGTAAGCTTAAAATTAATTTTACAAAAACAAAATGAATCTTGAATGAACTGGCTTGTGCATTCTTAGCATTTGAAATTTGGGAGGGTAATGCCTTTAGACAAGAATAAAACATCAACAAAACACCGAACCACAATACGCAAAGGGGTACTCAAACATTGCTCAAGCCATTTTTCAAGTCTGAAAAGATGTATTCATCTTTGTCATTCTGTGGACAACGAATCAAAAAAGATAAATCAAATTTTAAGGTAAATGTTTTTTTTATCTTCCACCGTATGTATTTGTATTAATAAACACTTTTTTAAAAGGGTCTGGACACAGTTGTATCGTTTACAGTTTTAAATGTCTACTTTTATTTAAAGAATAACCAGTTTTATGATTTGAACTTGCATGTATATTTTAAGATTTCAATAACAACGTAAGTCTTCATAACATCACGTCAAACATCTGTGTTTGTAAACAGGGCAAGAGCTCTGTTATTGTTTACGTGTTACCGAGTGTGTTCAATTTGTTTAGTCTGCACACATCACTGAATACGGACTAACAATACCCAACTGGTGGGTGAGTTGGTTTTTCTCTCATTCTTTTTTTTTTATCTCTGAACTGCCTGGATTATATCTTCATATTTTTTAATCAATAAACAAATTTTCTACTTCTCTTGAATATTATGGATGAAGTTTACTTTGTGAAAATGCAAGGATATGTGTCAATCAAACGCAACCCAAAATCGTACGGTAGATTTAATTATTTCCAGAAAAAGAATTTTCTTAACACGTTTTTAATATATTTTGGTTTGAAATGCACTAGCAACATAATCATGGTATAATTTAGAAAATTTTAGAAAATATGAGCTTCAAGTCTCTGCCCCAGCCCCTTTAAAGTAATTTGGATCTTTATTAAGAATTAATTTTTTTACAGAGTTGTTGCAATAGATTTTGAGTCAAACCTCACTTTCCTGAATATGTCTGAAACGTAAATATATATATTTTTAAATATCTCATGCAATAGAGAAATGGACATTATATATTTATTTTTTTGATTTAATTTTTTTTAGCTTTTGTTGATTGAATTCGCAATTTTTCAATAGATGAGATATACCGGTAAATTCTCATTTCAACATGAGCTCGCAGATTTCCTATGCAACATGAGCTCGCAGATTTCCTATGTATAGTAATCATGAAATAGCCTGAAATGACATTATTCGAAGCATTTCATGTAGACCTTGACTGCTCTATATAGAAATTAGTATTATTCTGCCTGTCACTGTCTGCTGAGGAGTGAAATATGTAAAAGAATCTCCCACATCGTTTCTGGAGTGCCTGGAGGTTTTCCTTCCGGAGTAGAATATAGATCCAGGGATCCACCACGGAGTTTGTCATTGCAATCCTGGCCAATAGTAAATCTCTTGAAGCATTTTCTTTATTCAACAGTGCAGCATATCCAAGTATTGTTAACTGAAAAGAAAACATTTCAAGAATGTTTCAAGAATTAAAATTGTGTTTGTTTCTCGCTTCCCGTCTGAATTCTTGGTTTCTATTCAAGCTAATTTATTGCCTGATTAAGTAGATTTTTTCCAAAAGAATCGATTGATGATTTTTTTTTTTTAATCATACTGTTTTTTTTTCAGTAAATTTCTGCCGAGGCAAATTAATTTCAACCCAATATTAACCACCTATCTATTAGTTAAGTTATTGAGTCGCTAGAAAAAGAAAAAAGGTTAAAAAAAAAACTTTCTGAATAAAGTATAAACATTTCAATGAAATATAGGATTATATCAGGCGATACTTTTAACACTTACAATTTGTGGACTCCAACATAAGGTGAAAACAATCACAAACACTAGCAGTAAAATCATGTTATATATGGTGCTTTGTCTTTTCCTTAAATTTTTTCTCTTTTCGTTGACATTTTTGCAAAGTTTTACCATTACAAAACAATTGAGGGAAATAGTCGTAGACAAAACAAAGAGTCCAAATATTGAATAGATGTATGAATTAACTCTGTCTAAAGTAGAGGTTCCAACAAAATTCAAGAAGCACCAGGAACCTGGATAGTAAATAACATTGGAACCGATTCCCACCAGAGGCAGACTAGAAATGACCGCCCCAAGAACCCAGACAAAAATTAGTATGATGTTTGCACGACGCTCCCTCCCAATGACGTTGTATTTGAATGGATACAAAATAGCCATGAAACGATCCAAAGACATTGCACATACAATCATGGCTGAAGATGTCGTCATAAATGTTATAATAAACGAACTGTAGTCACATAAAGGCTTAGGAAAATCATACGTAAAGTTGGAGAAATATCTCATCATGACTGGTACACCAATCAGTAGAATCCCTCCTCCATCTGTCAAAGCCAAACCCCCGACAAGTCTGTAAAATGGTTTCCATTTATGCCTCTTCCTGGATAATGCTAGAGCCGCCACTGCTATGGCGTTCCCTGCTACCCCTAATACAAACTGAAAGGCCGGAGGGACCATTGATTCCCATATCTTTGTCACAATAGTTAAGTTAGTTGTGTTTGAAATATTCAATTCCGACTGCATTTTGAAAAGTAAAAGTTTTAGACAGAAGACGTATATATAATTGTACTTGTGTTCACATATAATTTCCTGTTCCTGCATAGTTTGATAATTCGAGTTTAGAATTTGAAAAGTGAAATGAAGCAAGCAATAGAGAATGGACCCAATATTTTACTAACACATTACATCAAACATCTAATAGAGTAAAAGTATGTACTATATATAGTAAATGTTGACTGCTGTACTATGAATACAACCATTTTTCAATGAAAGTAATCTGAATAAGCTTTCATAATTACGTATATAAGTCCAAGTATGAAAGAAGTCAAATATACAAGTTGTGAGTGCCTTCTAATGCTCCACTGGTATAATGCTTTTGTTTAACAAATATTTCTGTGCTTTAAAACTACTTAATATGAGGTGTTTCTGCTTTGGACATCAAATATTAGTCACGAACAACCCCTAAGAATAAATAAGAACACCTTTAAAAGAATGTTTTTAAAAGTTGTTACATTTGTATTTACATTTGTTATATAAAAAGCACTTTTGTATTCTACAGACTAGAACTTGTTTTGAAATATAAAATGATTGGCAACTTTTACACGATTTTTGTGCAAATACATGTATCACTGAATATCAGATAATTACTGGTTACAACCTGCATGAAAAAAGGAAAAAGGAATGGTTTACTGCTCAACTGGAAGTCTGAATGAAACATGGGTATTTCTTTCTTTCTTTTTTTAAAACTAATTTAATGCCAACTTTGGGAGAATATCATGTTCTTTCAGTTTGCTTCAAACATGCTATTGTAATTATAGGAGATTTAAGTACCAAGAATCCTCTAAAAGATACAAAGTTTTGGATAAATATGATAATCCTTCGAAAAGCTTGTTCTTCTCCTTAATATATTCTACAATTATACTAACATGGGAAGTTCGATAAAACAGAATCATGTTGTAATTGATGACATTTTAATGAAGGGAAAGAGGTATATTTTGAATTAGCGTAAAGTTTTCCTTAAAACTTAACTCTCAGTCATTAATTCTTTCCTGCAATTAATCTGGTGTGGTGATCGGTTCCAAGCACTGATAGACTTTTCAATGCAACAAGACATTAATAAGATTTGTTCCCCAAGCTTTTTCTATATTTCTGACTTACAATAGCATGTTATAAGCTATTTTTGTTGAAATATTGTATGCAGTTGAATGTTTATATCAGTTCTAGAACTGATCAGCAAAAAACTTCGTAAGCCTGAAAAATCTTATTAGCAGTAACATAGTGTACTCCTTATAACAAGAGGTGGAGGGAAATCCCATTCGCTTTTCCTGTTATGGAAGGTTAAATTTATCATAAATATATTGAATTGGACAGGCTCGACTTTGGTTAAAATGGTATCGATATGCTTCATTTATTAACAAAATGTTCTGAATATAATATATACACCAATTACCGGCATGTTTACTTTTCACTTATAGATCATTTTGTAATTTGTATTTTCTTGCCAGCAATCATAGACATGGCAGAGCAACCCTACGATTGGTTCAAGGCATGGGATGAAAATGATATTGGTTTTCACAGAGACAACATAGATCCGTACGTTGCTTTTGTTTAGAGTTAGCAATCAGCGTTATTTCATTAAAAAAATTTAAATCAAGGTTGACCTTTACCTAATTTGTCTTAAAATCAATGTCTCAAATTTTGTTGTTTTATGCAAAATTTACATAATTTTATGCCTAAATTAAAAAAAAAAAGTTTTGTATGACAGGAATGACCTTATAACGTAAGCCATAGTGATGAAGTTAAGACCCTTTTTAATAAATATTTACGTCTGTCTTGTTTCTTGTTTGTATACTGTGAGACTTCACAAAAAACTTGAATATCTTTGTTTTTACTGTTTATTAATTTGTATCTGATCTATCAACAAAAGTAGAATACATGGGACTACTTCTTTTTTTCACAGATTTCTTTCCAAGTATATTGACCGACTGATTAATGGAAGGAAGAATATCAAAATCTTTATTCCTCTTTGTGGCAAAACAGTGGATATTGAATGGTAGAGTTTGAAAATGTAACATATAAGGCTATATTGTAATATATGAAAAGATATTCAAATTATTGTCTTCAATAACAATATAGTTCATTTAGTTGAGTTGTAGGAACTATTTTTGATTTCACTGACCAGGCTCTGGGAGCTGGGCCACACAGTCATAGGAGTGGAATTGGCCAGAAAGGCACTGGAGGAATTCCCTGAGGAACATAGTATTAGTTATATCAGGATCTGATGTTTGCATAACATCATTTATTATCATCATTTATTATCATCATTAAATTGAAGTCAGAAAAAAAAAATCAAATTATGTAGACTGATGAAACGGCTTGTGTTTGATTTAACACTTGTCTGATTACTTGATTAGAAGATTCTGCCTTTAGGCTTGTTCTTGACTTTGATATAAAACTCTTCAATATTTAATTCAATGAATCTACAGCGATTATTGGTAAATATATATAAAAATTCAATAATACAAAAAGTAACTCTGAACAAATCCCAGAGACATCCTTCAAGAAATGTTAATTAACTCAAAATGTATCTTTATACTTGCTTGTCAATTTGACAAAGGATAGCTTATGAAATTATAATACTTACATTAAAGTTGAAGTATCAATTTGCGACCAATCATATTCCTTGAGGTCACGGTATGAACGAAATGCAATTTACACAGTGAATACTTGCACGTACATTTCATTCTTGCTGCTATTGCTTCAGTAAAAGGTAATGTAAGACTTAATTTATACACTCATTTGACGAATTGTCTCTGTTGTTTTATTGGGGAGACGGTTTTGTAAATGTAATTTAGAATATTTTCTTCGTTTGGCTGTTTATTTTTGTCTCATCCCTGTCCTGATTACAATGTTGTCTCACCCCGTCTCTGGATACAATTGTTGCCCTATCCCTGCTTTGATTACAATTGAAAAAAAATCTTTAACTTCGTTATATGGGGATAATCTGCATATATGAGCGCTTGGCGAAGGAACAGTCAGTACCTATGCATATGTTTACGTCGGAGGTTTGACAGGGTGCTGCGAACGAGAATCGAACCCAAGCCTTCCGAAGCCCTACGAAGCAAACGCCCTATCACTAGGCCATATGAAATTGAATAATTGTTGACTTGTGTAAATTTTGGAAATTTGGAAATTTACCCCCATCCCGACTAAGAGGGCAATGGATTATTTGATTATCGGGTAGATTTTGCAGTTATCAATTTTTGCGAAATTTTGTTGTTTAGTCGGTAACATTTGCTTATATTTGGTATAACAAGTATTACATATTTCTTAATCTACTCCTTGAGAAAGAGACATTTCCCTTCTTTTAAAAACTTGAATAATTCAGATATGCGCCGGTTTTGTTGAAGGTCTTAAGAATTTTAGAAAATAACCAAGAATAATAATAAAATAATGATTCATCAGTAAAAAGCGGAACATAGGTCAATTTAAAACCGCATTTTTTTAAAAACCAAATTGGTCAATAAAAACTTGCATTAACAGGACAGATTCAGATGTTACATAACATCCTCCCTCCCTTTCTTCCTCTCTTCCACTCAACAACCAACCTACCGACCGACCTACACGTCCACCCACATACATACGTATTTTGAGCATATAAGCTAATGTCAGCCAGTGGCTGAGGTTGGGCTTTAAACCTCAGTTGTTTTCTGTCATTTTGAGAATATCATTATTTCACATTTCTATGTAAAATGGAAAATAATAATAATAATAATAATAATGCAATTTTGTGTTACATCTTTCTATAAAATGTGGTTTGAAGCTGGTGAAAGTAAAACGCAATCGATTTCTTTACTTGTAGAAATCTCAAAATAAAAATTTAGTCTTGAAATATTCTTTGATTGTAAACCAACAGGATGATTTCTTGAGTTCATGAAACAGTTGCGTTCCAGAATGCTTATGCAAATGTTTAAGCCTTTGGAACCATTGAAACTACGTCTCAAATTGAGAATAAACTGCTGGTTAATGGATATTTACACATCTCTCGGTATTAAAACTGTTACTGTCATAAAAAATTCCCAGGGCATACGGTTAATATGTGTCTTGATTGATATTTCCACTAACTCATGAATCATTCTGAATAATATAGCTTTCAGTTGAAAATGTTTTAAGGAAATCAATCATGTTTGCTTCTGTGTATGACAGGGCTACGTTCATACATTCCAAAGAAAAACAATGTCTGATCGCTCCAACTATTAATTTGGTTATTAATTGGAGTGGCACGTACAATTGATATGAGCAAGTCATATTTTGCTAAAAAGAAATATTTTATAATCCATTGCTTTCATTTAAGTGTTAATTTATATGCTATGCTTTCATTTCTCAGGAATTTGTTCAAGTTCCAACAAAGGAATGGACCCCGTAGACATTGTAAAATTCTTAATCAAAGAACAGGCCTCTAAGTGACCTCTAAAATTTAGGCGACAGCTTATCAAAAAAATGAGTCGCCATTTTTTTTTTCACACGTGTGACTAAAAAGAACAAAAAGGTGACAAAGAAAACACGATATGTCCATTGCTAAGAAAAAATCTCCTCTTTTTAAAGTTTCTTTTCGCTTCTTTAGAAAAGCAAAAATTGTTAAAAATGTTGAAAGTTCCGGAATTCGACGATCGCCAAGTCAATTTAAAATGGTCGCCAATTTGTCGACTCATGGGAAAAATTTAGGCGCCAATCAAAAATTTTAGGCGAGGGTTCACTTAATAAAATAATATCGGGGCATAGAATTCAAATTAACAACGGGGCAAACAGCTTTTATACAAGTATTTTAATTTTCTTGATCATTCTATTTTGTCAATGAAAGTGAGAATTTTAGAAAGATTTACCGTCATACTAATTGTCCATCATTGAGTACACCTTCCCGTAGACAACGTGAAGAATACTGGATTAGAAAACTAGAGAGAGAATCATATATACCTTGAACCCTCTTTATCATGGACTCCCGACCTCGTAGCAAAAAGTAGCTTTGTACAATATGATTCTTATTTTTTTATTCCTATCTATACTGTTAAGTCAAAGTACAGACCCATCTTACGTACAATCAGGGGTAATGAATTGGAGAAAATTGTATTGTAGCATTATTGCTCCGTGATTTGCAAGAGTTTTTTTGTTTCAAAGTATTTGTTTATACTTACAAATTAAAACCCATTGCAGCTTGTTTTTAGCTTGAAAGTAATGAAAATCTTCAACTATACCGTATAAGAATGCTTGCGAGTTAATATCAAAAACCGCAGCTAGATATTTCTGGGGAAAAAAATTGTGGCCCCATATCGCACAACTGTAACCCTAACCTCTGCTTCTGGATTTGACCATATTTTAACTTACGTAAAAAAAAAAAGATGCTTGCATTTTAAATTGACCAAAATGATTATAGCTTTGCTTTTCGAGGAATTTCTGCCTTTTGTTGTTCATTGATTTTTAAACGATTTTACCCGCTTTTTTTCTCTCTTTCTGCAATATCCCCTTGAATGGTATTTGGGATGATTGTTTATCCAAATAATTTGAAACCCCCTTTCCAAGGATTTTTAAAAGTAATTTTGAAGATATTGGAATAGTGGTTATAATAGATTAAAAATTCGAATACTAGTATGTTAAAAGAAAAACAGGATAACATCAGATGGAGTTTCTAGAAAGCCATTTTCCTAAGTACAATTGACTTATTTTCAACAAAGTTCATAAAATAAAAAAAATATGCAAAGCCATGTCATTTAAAGATGTCGACAAAGGGTGCTTATTAACAGAATTAAAAACAAAACTGCGTTTATAGATAACATGTGTTATTCATTGTTCTTATTTTTTTTTTAAATAGCAATGATGTCCGATTGGATTCATGTTTCTGAGAGTCTCTTATAAACAAACCCTCCGGTTTATAAATGCCTGTTCCCATGTAATAGAAGATTATATATCACTGTTCTCAACAAAATTTCATTAATTACTCTAATTCTAAATACGATGTAAAATTTTCAAAGAATAGCATTTGCATTGCATTAAGGCTTTCTGGGTAGTTCTTTGAAAAATCAACAAAATCTACAAAAATTGCTTTTTTGTGATTTTTTTGCAGTCATTTGACATAGTCTATTTTATTGTTTTAGTACTCAACTGCAAAATATCCGTGGAAGGTTACTGTTTCCGGTAAAACATGACAGAGGTGGGACAGCCAGACTCCACATTCACATGACTACACTGACCGACTTCCGGGGAACGCCAGTAGACACGAAAATTACTGTAGAAACACCCGATCTAGGATAGAACCTACTCCCTGGTGTTATACCGTGGACCAGAATACGAGATGGGAGCTCTGTGATATTCTATTTTGTGGTAATAAGTACATTCAGTTTAGGGAGTCTTTTGTTTGTTTTGTATATTGAAACATTCAGATATCAGTGATATAATTTTACGTTTAAAATTGCGAAACATATTTTTAAAGTCCATAGTAAGATTAACTCGGATGTAAAAAAATGTTTTTAATAATAAAAAAACAAAACAAACAAACTAGAAACGTGTTGCCAGGGCATGAAGAAGGTCTTACGTCCCTCCTCCCTCATCATTGAAGTTGATTCCTCACTCGTAACACAACATTTATTACGTTGTGCATTCTCTTAAACTCCTCTATACATGAAAATTTTGCGAAATTCTGTTCTTAGCACTCTCATGTTTTTGTGTTTATGTACAAGTGAAAAGATAAAATATAATTACACGATATACATTGAACTTTAATAGCTATTTGATACATCAAATCACAGTGGTTCCCTTTAAAATACAAACCAATCGCTGCTTTTTTTAAAAAAATATTTTGAAAATAAAAATGCATTGTTAGACACATATACTCAGATTAGACTTATAAATAATAGATTAATAAAAATGAGACAAAATAACTTATCTTTGTACATTAAATGTTCTTCAAAGACCAAGAGAGGCCAATGTGATGGTATTACTATATGAGTTCAAGCATTACTGTTTATTTAGTCTGCATAGTGAAAGTGAGAAATGAAAGTGTATTAGCACTGACAAGTATTATGATTTTCTAATGAGTACTAGACAAACTTATTTTGTTGATCCCTGATCATCCTATTTCTCTTGCTTTTGGCAACATATATTCATCTATCAGTTTATTTTTATTTTATACTCCTATGCATCCTTAACATTGTTATACTCAGTTGACTATCAAGGCCCCTGGGCATTTTTTTATTACAATATTTTTGTCATATATATTTTTACGTGCCGA